CCGAGTCATCGGAGGAGGAGACCGGAGGCAGTTCTAGCTCGGGCTCTGACGACAATGCTGATGATGCTCCTGGACCCTCGTCCAGGAAGAGGACCAGGACAGACTGATGGCCCTTGGAGTGCTCGACACATCTACTGGGGGAGGCCCCACCTCTTGCTCGTCCAGGCTTCGTGCGGTACTCCTGGTTCGAGGTACAGTTTAGGGTCCAGCCCGTGTTGGAGAAGGAGGCGCAGATGACTCAGGAGGACGTGGAGAGGTACGCCCGCGGCTTCCTGATGTTCCTATTTGGGACGACCATCTTCGCCGACAGGGCGAACACCGTGCCTCTCTGCTTACTCAGCGCACTGGTGGACGTCAGGGACATTTTGCACTATGATTGGGGTGGCGCCGCTCTGGCCACTCTCTACGGGTACATGAGCTCGGCTTTGCGCGGCAGCGGCCAGTTGTTCGGAGGCTATTGGCGGGCTTGGGAGGTATACTTCTTCTCCGCTTTTCACTTCTGTCCGATATTTTCTGTACTCCGTACACTGCACACACTGTTGTCTGCTTTATACTTGCTGTATACTGTACACACGGCACACACATACATTCTACTTCACACTGACTGTACACTGCTCACACTGTACACTGCACACAATACACATACATTCTGCTTTACACTGACTGCACACTGCTCACACTGTACACTGAACACAATACACTGCACAACACACGACTCTGCCATTTCTGCTTTATTCTGTATTCTGCTTTATCTGATAAATGCACTGGTATTTATCTTGCAGTTGTGGGTTTACGCCTACTTTCCTAGGCTTGCTTCCGTTCCTGTCACAGAGACTCCTCTGGTCGTGCCGTTCTCACACCGCTTTGACGGGAGGTGCACCCGGCGACCACGAGAGACATTCGGCTTTTTCCGCCGATACTTCGATACCATTACCCCCGCCGAGGTATGTTTTACTTGCAGTTCATTTAAGCTTCGCTTTTCCACTGCACATTTCAAAAAAACAGTAGATAACAAACTGTCTGTTACTTTCAGATCACATGGCGGCCGTGGGCTCCGTTGCCGGCGGTGACGCGGGATCGGTTTGCCGGTGCGGGGGAGACCTCGCGTTTCCGGATCTTGCTTGAGGGCCTGGTCTGTCGGGCTTGGTACCTGGGAGAGCGTTTCCTACGCCAGACCCTAGGGTTACCTGAGCAGATAGTTTCGGTTCACCCTCCTGCGGACATGAGGGACACCGAGAGGCTCACGACCGAGCAAATGGACGATTACACCGTTGGCTGGGAGGAGACCGGCTTTAGAGGTATCGGCGACTACCGGGAGTATGTGCAGGCATACCTGATGCGACCTCTGAGCGGCGGCCGTCGAGC